CTACAGCATCAGATCTGATGCCTGAGTCATGAAATACTCCGGGGAGTATTATAAATATACAGATATGTATTATAAACAGGAAAATACACAAACACACACTGACTAGAATTATAGATGTATGCATACATACATACACATATTATATATACGGATGTAAAATTAACTTGGACTGTGTTGGCAGAGACAAAACTGAGACGAAGTCAAAATCTGTTGAGAAAATTTCTAGCAGGAAAGAGAGCATAAGTTCTTTATGTTAATAGTTTTAGTTTCACCTCACTTCTGACAAAAATAAACCTCTCCATACTTAGCAGATCCCCTCCTTATGCAAGGCCATCAGCTCCGCTGCTCATACTGAGCTAAACCTTCTCTAGGCAGCCCTAAAATAGAGACTTTTTAAGATGCTGCAGCCATGGGCTACACCACTCACCCGGAGGCACCTCCGAACGCATCTCAGATCAGAAAAAAAAGGTGAAAGCAGCGCTCCTCGTTGCAATGGTAAGAGGACATGGAGTGGAGCAAAGTGTGAGCTTGTGGAAACCTGGCAAACGTTCACTTTGTCTCACTGCAAAATTCACTACAGGTCTTCCGTGCTGCAAACCCACCCCTCTATCTCCCTTCACCGCCATAGCAGTGGATTACAAGATGCGAGTGAGGATGTGGTGTTGACTCTGGAAATGCAACGCTTCACCGTGCTTTCTCCTAGTGGATCAGATTTCATTTTATTACAGGATTATAGTGACTCCAGCATGCAGATTTGTATTATTTATTAGGCAATCATAAAGTTACATATTAAAAAAATCTAGCTATATATCTAGGCATTTTAACTTCTATTTAAGCGCTCTTTACAATACAGACTTGACGAAGTGTTGGACTCCAGATTAACGACCACGCTATCAGCATTAATCACTTCTCTGGCAGCAGTTAATCTATTTAGCAAAGTTACGTATCTAGTTCCCACTCTCCTTTTTAAAGAGAAGTAGCAGTTAGCATACTAATCACTGTGGCTTGCCTTTGCAGCACATTTTACTTCCTTGGGAAAAAAAAAAATACAAGGATTAGATCCAAAAATATAGTGCATCTTAAAAGCAGCATATACCCTTAGAAAGACATTTAATAAATTACTTGTACAATATATAAAATAATAGTTTTATACTGCAGCATCAAACTCTGACGCCTGAGTCATCACGTTAGGAAGTCTGTGATATAAATACTCGGATCTCCTGATAACACAGCCAACATTTTTGCTTTTGTTTTGCTTGTTTTCTGTTTTGTTTTCTTTCTCTCTTTTTTTTTTTATTATTATTTTTTCCTTTTTTTTTTTCCACTACCTTTTTGTTCCAGAATCAGCTTGCAATGAGCTTTAATTGTGTTCAAGGCACCCCCAGAGAACGCAGAGAAACAAACACATTATATAGTGTAGTACTCACCCGACAAAGCATAACAAGCCTAAATGAAATGAGGTTTCCCGGTGATACAAGTATCGCAGTGGCAAAGGAAAAGGAGGACTAGATACAGACTGGACAAAGCTTCAAGGACTCGCACGCCCCTGAGAGCGGTGCAGTGCCCAGAAGGGAGATGGGGCCTCACCACGCCATTCCCAAGCAACGCCCGGCAGGACCGATGCTGCATGTATCCTCTTTGTCAACAGCAAAGGGATTCTTACTTGAGATCATGGTGACCGCCGGCCAATCTCTTAAAATTCATAAATACTGAAGTCAGCTGCTTTTTTTTTCCCTTTCCAATGGTATTCTTGTGGTCAGTTGTTTTGACCTCATGAGGCAAGAATGGCTGGGTATGTCAACTGGCGTCCAGATCTGCAACTAATTCTCCCAATGTCCTCCTTTAATGTTAGCCCAGTAACAGCTTTGAGAGCCGTGTGGTTCGAGATAGCAAAAAAAAACCTCAAAACAAAATAGAAACAAAAAACAACCACCACCACCACCACCACCAAAAAAACCCCACTGAAAAACCATGGTACATGTAAATATAGGAAGCAATGACACAAAATCAGCCACTTCTAATGGGAAAGAATGAAATCAAACATCTAGAAAAGCTTGCGAGGGAGGGAAA